TGTTCATTTTATTATTTATACCTGTACTTTACCTACATCCTTCCTACGGTCTTTAATGACTAATGAATTCACGGTACATCAAGTAACCAGAGGAAACATCCTTCACTACACTGATGAAGGCAAGACAGCCAAAGCCATGTCATATGGCAATGTTTATGAAACTATCAAAAAGGTGTGACCCATGATTCCTATTGCCTTCAAAATGACTTGGGTTCTTTCTTGGCCCATGCTTCACCCAAAATCCAGCCAACAGTTTTTCAGTAATGTTGACAGACATACAAGAACCGAAAACATGACATCCAGGCAAACTTAATAAATCCACTGCCTTCCAGTTGGTCTCTCTTTCTCTTTCTCTCTCCCTCGGTGGGTCCAGACGCAGGGCCGTTTCAGGAAAATACCACTTTTTTTTCCTTGAAGGGAAACTGACCGACATTCCTCTTGGCTCTATAAACAGAACGCTGTATGATTGATACATGCACATACACACACACATAAACACACACTCGTGCCCATTTAAATATTACATGAACAATTTCGCCATGCTCTTCGATCCGTTAGGACTTGTCGCCATTGGGAAACTCATACAGCGCACATATAACGAGACATTGGATAGCTGTGTTTTGAAAAAAAACTCCTTGGTGATTTTTGAGAGGTAAAAGGAGTAAGGTACCAGGTGTTTCATATACTGGAAGGTCATAAATCTCCCTCCACAGGGTAGTATTTAGATTCCTTTGCAAAAGACTTTGAGACAAGTTAATTTTCCCACTTAAAAGGGAAAGTAACATTCCTGGAATGCGTGTGCTGTGACAATACCTGGACAGAGGCAAATCCATCTTGTGTGATTAACGCTAGATTTGACAATGTGTGATCTTAAAGGAGATGCTCGTGATGACAGACCGATAGATAATTGTTACCCAACTGCAGTTTCTCTTGTAGCGTTTTAGCATCTTTCAGCGTGTTGTTTTGGTCTTTACTGCAAGCAGCTATAAATATTTCAGTTCAATCTCCTTACTCTCTTTGGTATTGTTTTTTGGTCACAGCAGACAGCTCCAAAATAATTCTGATGAACCCATTGGACACTTCCTGCCAAATGACAGAACAAAACTTAGCTTGAGGTGCGGAGAGAAAAACAAAGCTTAAACTCCAAATGAGCTGTTGCTATGTTCCTGACTTTAAATGGGTAGGTTACTGCTGACATGTTCACCATAACAAATGTACGAGTTGATGATATTATAAATGTTGTGTTAGCAGCCTGTTGCAATGCCCAAGCAGTGGCCAAGCAGTCTATTAATGCATCCTTAAAATGGTGTTCTGCACAGGTAATGACTCTTAATTGGCATGAAAGCATTGTTGTCTGGTGCTAAACGTATTGCGTCATTAGATCTTAAAATATCCAATGATCCATGCATGTGGTTCTGGTCTGAAACCCATCTAATTTTTCGAATCAAGATTAATCTAAATATTGTCAGATGACGATATCTTCAAACTGCTTATTTGGTCCAAATGGTATTCAACTTGCATTCAGGGAAAAAGCTACTGACTGTTTTTAATGGCCTCTATGTAAAAGAAAATTATGTTTTACACCCTGAATCCATTTTGAGTGATATTCTGAAGGGAAACATCCAATAGGAAAACTAAATTTTCCTCATGAACGCCAGCATTTGCTGTATTAATTCAACTCTGCCTTCTCCTCCATCTGGCAGCTAAACACCAACTAACCCTGTATAGTTGTGTTGACTGAGTTTTATGTGAGAGTGACCAGACTGGCTGTGTTTAACTCTCCTTAGAATAAACAAAGGCAGAGTTGAATGTAATGGTGGAAAGACTGATTAACACAACATTAAAATGGTGGCAATCCTCTGTAAACACTACGTCAAGCACACTCTGAATGAGTCCTTCCTGGTGGTTTATTGGCAATGTCATGTGGTAGATTCAGTTATATTGGGGTGTGTGTGTGTGTGTGTGTGTGTGTGTGTGTGTGTGTGTGTGTGTGTGTGTGTGTGTGTGTGTGTGTGTGTGTGTGTGTGTGTGTGTGTGTGTGTGTGTGTGTGAGTGAGAGAGAATGAATAAAGGAATCTCTCAGTGTGTGCCAAAACTGATCTAGGAGACAGTGTGTTTGTGCAAATGCTGTTGAAATGGAGCTGCTGAGCTCTGAAACTGATACTGTCTTTGTTTACAGTGACAGACGCACACACGCTCACACACCAGTGACTTAGACAGCTTAGATACAATTTCAACATGTTTGGAATGAATCACACAGATAACATTCAGTCTGGGCATGTTTGAGTTGAGAAATCCTTCCACTATCACCACTCCTCTGTGACTGATTTTGATCATTAATGTGATTTTGTTTTTTGGGATGCTTTGACACATTTCGGTCCAATTCTCATGCAGTCGCCTCAATATTAAAATAAAACCAATTTTTTGTAGAATAGGATTTTATTTAGGGCTGCTATTTGGTGCAAAGCATTTTCTAAGAAGTACAACTTTCAATTGAAATCTCCCTAATCCTCGGACTATTGAATGGGTAAACATGAACCGTCATGGGTTACATTTAAAATACCTTGTTTTTTTTTCTGTAATGATCCTACATTGATTATTTAAGTTAGCTGGCCAGTTAAAATGGACTCTTCTCTGGATTGTGTGTGTCTGAGAGGTTTTTGCAGCAGGGAATCTGAGGATCTATCCTTATGTCACCGCAGCCCCACACACACACGCATAAGCTCTTGTAGCTGTAGTGGCTGTAGATGGATAAGCTCCCTACATATAGTGATTAACTGTGACAGGCTGTTGCATGACCGCTAGGCCCTACTTCTTTTGGTTGTTTTTTACTCTGTTTGTTAAACGAAGTTAGGATTTAAGTAGTTGAACCTCCGAATGTGATGTTACCAAAGAAACAGGGAATCTACGCTAGCCACACAACGTTAATATTTCTAACATGAAAGGGTTAAATCCAATGTTTTTACTGGTTTGAGTCAACATTTAGTCCATTTGTTTTGGGGAAGAGCACACCTCTTCCGATCATTTCGCTTCCAGTTTAAACATATTGAATATCTGGATCATCACTCATCATATTAACAACCTGAGAATTTAGGACAAATTCACTCGCACTCCCTCTGGAACGTTATTTTGCTGCCAAGCTGCGTCAGAGAAACATTCGGCTCCAGGCAAAAACCTCCTGAACAATGAACAGTCAAGAAATCTTAACCGATTGAAGACCACTTAAATAACAAACTACTACTTCACGACACCATCAGACTTAAAAATGTAAAGTATTTTAAAGTATTAAATGTGTTGATTAAAAAAACAATAGTGGTACAAACTACATATTGTTCATTTTATAAGTCATCTCAAACAAGCATGGCGAAAAAAAACTGATATCGGAGAGATACTTTTGATCACATTTTTTGTTCAGTGTTGATTTTTGGTCATGGTAGTGGCCCATATTGTTCATACTTTGCAGTTGCATTCATAAACAACAGCCTATATTATAATGGTCCAGTTACAAACATCTGTCAACTGACAAATAGATGCTGTGATCGCTAAGTGCTGTATATTGATTAATTTTGAAATTGCCTATCCATTATATGAAAGTAGAACAACACTGTGTACTGTACAAGGAAAGTCTATACTGAATGCATCCAGATACTTACTGGATAATAAATCCAATAAAAATATATGAAAATTGCTTTATGTTATCTTATATGGCCTGGCTTAAATTGTCAGAATCTGTTCTGTCATTAAGTTCAAGGTCCTGGCACAAACTTTACTGTACTATACGTAGATACTGAGTTTTGCTTAGGATGTCCAGTGAATGAGATGCAATGGTTTCTAAATATATGTCAGTTATTCCATTTTGGTTTATTAGTTAAATGATATATTGCAAGTTAAATCTTCTTAATTTATTTGTATTGTCCCTTGGGACATTCTGTAAACACAACATTCACATGATTCAGAGAGTGATGTATTGAAAGTGTCCTGCAGACACAGAGCAACATCCATTTGCAATTTTGTTTGTATCCACCTGACAATTGAAAGTCCAATATTCACTCTACTTAGCTCTGTTTTTTCTCTCCACCAACTCTTTAGCAGCTACATTTTCCTCTGTTTGCCAGTTAATTTCGCTAACTTAATCTGTCTGCTGTGTGTTGCTGCAGGTGTGTTTATTACAGTTCTTGCATGAAAACTGGCTTTAACTTGAAAATATGTTATGGAGGCTTTAATGTTAATGTTGAGGGACATAAAACCAAAACAATGTGCTGAAAAATTCAAAGCACATTATGCTAGCTGTCTATCAAGACAGTGGTTATAAGCTCACAAAAGCTAACTAGCTTCCTATAAGACCTATTATTTTAGGGGAAATGGGGCAACAAATATTATTAACAATTTAAGAATTGTCAGAACAGTACAGCTTTACTTTTTCAGTTAAGTGATAATTAGTTAGTGCTGCCCATGCGTCACTGAACGAAACTGGCATACTGCATAGCATCAACACAGATGGTCGTTTGAACCCTGCTACAACTCAACATAAAGAATAAATTACAATCTGTAAGACCAACAACAGCTATAATTCATTATACATGGAGACTTAAATCACTTTTAGGTCATGAAAAACATTTATTTATAGCTAGCTAGCTTACTAGCTAGTTTACACAGTCTAGCATACAGCGCCAGTAGTTGAAGTCTTAAGTGTTGACAGTGACACCAGGTTAACACAGTATACCAGTTTTGGTGAGGCCACTCAAGCACTTACCAAAGGCTGTGTTCCTTCAGTTTTCACATCAAAGTTAAGATTGTACAATAGATGCACCTCTTTGAACCTGATTACTACATACTAAAGGATATATAACTTAATATCACTGAACAGTAGAGAGACAAAGAAAGAGGTGAAAGTAATTGGGGGAAGTCTCTTGTTCACACTTGCCTCCTTCCTCACTCCACCCTCTCTATCCTCTTCCCTCCTTCAGCCCTCCCCCTGCTGCATTACCAGCCGTGGTGACGGGAGGAGAGGAGTGAGGCATGCAGCAGCTACTCACTCACTCACTCACTCATTTAGTCTATTGTTTTCCCTATAGCTTACTGCCGTATTGTACCACTCCAGGGAGTTGTACCATAATTCTGTGAGGAACAATAGGAAAATAAGTTTTCTTTTTTTTAAGACATTCCTGGGTCCTTTAATAAGGAAGATTCAAACTATCTCTCCGTTATTCTTTGCTTCTTGTGTTTTATTGTGATCCTGTTATAACCATACTTTGGCTGCAGTTGAGTACTGGATCTGTTGGGATTGGCTTGCTGTTTTGCTGTTGCTGTCAAAGTTGAGAGAAATCTCCTTCCAACGACATTTGACTGTAGTAGAGCTGAAAAGGGGGAGGAACCTCAGAAGATGTTCTGACTTGAAGACAGAGCAATCTCCTGTTGTGAAGTGGTCTCTTCTCTGTTGGAAAGAGAGAGAAGTCTTGGATATTCAGGAAGAAAAAAGGAGTTTGGATTGGGACAACAGAACAAGGTGTTGGATTTGAGGGTTGTCTATTCTTGGACAAACCAAGAAAAAAACACATTTATTTTTCCAAAGAGGCATAAAGAAGTGTTGGGAAAGAATCTATAACAGTTAAACAACATGGCTGGGAAGTACGATTGCTTCAAGAGAAGGAAGTAAGTGTCTTTTTGTCATAATGTAGTACTGTTAAATGATTATGATGAAATTATATTGTGATAGCAAATTCTGTTGAACCAACTGACAACAACTTAGCCTACTCAAATGTCTTCATGTTTTACAAGATGAGTCATGAAATATGCCTTAAAGATTGCAAAATCTTGATTTGACATCTTGTCTGACATATTAATATGACTAATCTCAACTCATCATTTACAATATCTTTAAATCTCTGTGTGACAGGATGTGATTTGTATTTGTCACTAGTCATCTTGTACTGATGTGCCAAACATGTTGTTGACAACAACACAAGTATTATTGCTGATAGAAACTACAAATCATTTACTCAAGTGTGCTCATTTTAATGAATATGTTGGGGGATGTCCAAGACCTGACACTGTCTTTCGTTGAAGTCATAGTCGAACTCTTGTTCCCTATTGTTTATTGAGACAATTGGTGGCTTGTAATTGGCGATGACAGTCAGCTGTATGACTCAGAGCTGATTGACCGAAGAGACTGATTTTACACTGGAAGTGAATGACTAATCAGAAAATCCCAGAACCAAACTTGCTGTTGCTTTTAAGCAGGACAATCTAGGAGATTAATATTTCTGTTAATGCTCTCTGATGTGGTATCAGTCATATTGTTGTTCAACTGATGTGCATATGTAATACTTTTCTCCTCATCTCAATTTGAGGAGTGCATGTTTCTTTTGTAGCTTGTGGGAGTCCGAAGTGATTTGAATGCTTTGACGAGCTATATATAGGACTGGGCTTGGCAGTGTAATAGGACCACATAGGGTTAGGATAATGAGTGCCTTTAGCTTTTTGAATATAGCAAAGTATCTTTTTTCGTACCAGATCTGTGGGGATGTGGTGTTGGGCGCACTGATACCCCCTTCCACTTTCTTTGTCTTCGGCTTTTCAGTCTCATGGCATGACAACAATGCAAGCTTTTATGGCCCTTCTCAGCAGAGTTGAGTTAGACAAACATTTTGTTTGTGTGTGTGACTTCGAGAGAAAGTACATTTAAGAGTGGGAATGAGCTACAAGACTGCTACACACAGATTAAACTAAAGAACTCCTTGAACTGAAACTAGGATTTTGTGAAATGAGTCACGTCTTACTACAAATCCTCAGTATGCAGAAAAACCCAGACACACTCAAGACTGAAGAGAACTATAAACTAACTTAACATTTGACACAGTAATCCCTCCCTAGCTTTTATATGTAACCACACGAAGTATTCTATAGATGCAGTTAATATGGGGAGGGGAGCACCCGAAAAAGGAGTGCTTATCAGTGCAAACAGACCTCAACAGAGGCTGCCCTACCAAGACTTTTAGAAACAACTACAGTTTTCAGCCAAAATCGCAGTTACAATCAGCTAAGTTTAATATGAAGAAACCATTGTTTAGAGATGTATTAAGAGTTTTGAGTGGTACATCTGCCTTATTATAATAATAATAATAATAATAATAATAATAAATTGTATTTCTATAGCGCTTTTCTTGAACCCAAAACGCTTTACATTTTGAGGGAGGGGAGACAAACAAGGACAGGCAAAAAACTAAACTAAACAAAAGACAAAACTTTAAACTGCTTGAAGGATTCCTGTCGAGACGTCAAACATAGATTTAGCTCCTGAGTCTACTGATCGTGGCCGATTCTTTAGCCCTATTGACGCCAAAGTAAAATTTGACCTATTTTTTCAAAAGCCACATATAATCTTTTTTTTTTGCAGATTTAGGGATTTTCAGATCCGTCTTGTCTGATTTGAACCTTTGGACCCAATATTTCCTTGGTTCAAAAGTCATTATGTAACCATGGTAGGTTGAGTTTGTTTAGCAGGAATGGTGATGCAGCTGTAAATGAATGTAAACTGTGCAGAGTGACTGATGAGAGTGTTTATCCAGGTTCTGTCTTGAGTCCATTTAAGGCTTGTTGCTAAGCAAAGCCCCATTTCAAACAGGGCGAGATGGAGAAGTGAAATAAGAAGAAGAGCTGTAAGACAAGAGAAAAACCAAACTGAAAATAAAGTTTGAATACATGTTAACAGGCCTTAAGAGTCAAAGCATGTTGGAGCTATAGGACAATAATGGCCATTTTCAAAATCCAAAGTAGAATGACGTAGAATTTATGGGATCCACCCTTTCTGTTTGGGTTTCTTTCCCATTGTTGTGCATGTCACTGATAACTTAGCCTAAAAACTTGTTTATTGGCAGATTGATGGGAACTTTATTACAGATAAGATAAATACATTGCACATTTTTTATTATTTTTGCTGGAATATGTATTAACACATCTTTTATATTTATATCCAAACAGTTATTACACACTTTGGAGGTCTTGGGTACTAACCTTTGTGTCTCATACTACTGAGTACTGCTACTTTCTTAAATATTTTTTGCATTTTAAGGCATGGGAAAGTCAAAGTAACAGTGACATTCTTTAGTGCTAAGATGTCCAATTGAAGGGATACTTTCCTTTGTAGTCACCGTCTCCTGCTGACTATGCAGCTGTTGAATGGTTGAACAGCTCAAGAGGAAATACCCCGGTTTTGAAGGCCATGTTCCCAGTGAGGTATGTGCGGTTAGACTCGAGTCTGGATGTAAAAAGAATGAAGAGACAAAGAGGGGAGGAGGGAACAAATAAATATTGGTGTGCAGCTCTGTTATCTGGCCACATTAAATCTCATATCCTTTTATGGCCCTGGTCGAATTGAGCTTCTTCAGTCCTAAGGAATGAAGATGTAAAACAATAACAAAACTGATAAAAAAGCTTTTTTAACATCTGGGGAGACTAGTAATGGGAGAATAAAAGATGTTTATCCTGTGTGGATGCTTTCCTTTTTACGCGCTGTTCCCACTTAATGTTTTATTGGATAACTTGCCGAGAGACATGTGACAAGATGGCAGAATGTGACAGCCAGACTGGACCTTGTATAGCGTTCAATAATCCAGCCTAGAATGAACCAGATCTAGGAACAGCTACTTTCCTTTATTTTAGGTGTAAATTGATGACAGAGTCTGAAGTCTGGTTTGATCATCTGGAAAATATTTGCTATCTTGAGCTAAATTCTAATTGATGATGACGCACTATCATGTTTGTACGCTGGATATGTCGCCAAAGTAAGCAGGGGTCACTCCCGCCCCCCCCCCCCCCTCTATATTCTCAGGGCCCTTATTTGACAGGGTCATCGTAATAAGAGAGTGGGCTATAATTGCAGAATTTTACATTGCAAAGTAATGTTTGGAGATGGACACCTGAAATGTATTTTGAATGTTAAAAATCCATTTAGTCAATAACCTGCCTGCATATTGGGAGACACTCAACATTTGACCTAGGGAAACAAGCATTATAAAGAACATAAAACTCTAGGAATGATCTTCTAATGTCTAATTTTAAGAGGATATTGAGCTCGGGAACAAATGTGCAGTGTATTCAAAACTGGGTTAAGTGCTGTAAGTTCATGTGTTTGATTGATGACTCACTTTTTTACATTGATATCAAATGACAATATGTACTGTTCATAAAGAAAATAACAAACAAGCAACATTTGATTATGAGTCCGATGTTTTTGACTAATCCACATAAGGCTTCAGTCCTGCACTAATGTGTATCTGAAATTCATTAAAGCTGTAGAAAGCCTTGGTCCATCTCTGATTTGATTGGATGATTGTGCTTAATTTAAAGAAAAGTGCATAGGTACAAACTTGAGTACTTGGTACAAGTTGACATGCATGCTGTTTATGTTTGTACATAAAACATGTTTTTCATTAATGGTTGATCTCAGTCAGCCGAGTTTATCGTTTTAGCTGACCAGCAAATATTTCCCACTTCCTCGCAACCTAACTTGATCCCTTCCCTGCATATCTCCCTTTCTATATTTGGAAATGAAAGACTTGCAGCTCTTTATGGACACACTAACATGATATCAATGCGACCAGTTTATCTGCACTGCCTTGAGTCGACCTCTCATCTTCTCTCACTCAGATCAAATCAAGATTTGGGCTTATTTTTTGTGTCTCAGAAAGATATTGTTTTAGTTGTCTGGTCAAGCCCTTTAAAAATAGGTATTTAACTTGTCCCAAATGGATTCTGCACAGAGATATGTTGAAGATGATCCCTGCTAAGGAAATATCAGGCTGAATATTGGAGCCAGAAATGTAATAGTCCAGATGAGTCCTCCCCACACACCGAAACCCCAAAGAACCCTCATCACCTCAAACATCCCGATGTATTCCGCAAAGCATTTAAAACCAATGGTGATGGCATGTCGAATGAGCAGTCTTACATCAAGGGGTGGATTGTACGGTAGTAAACAGAATTCCATTCATTAACAGTGTTACAGTAGCTCTAACGGCTCTCACATGACTGAGGTTTAGCTCTCTTAAGTGTTTACAGCAACACAGCCAAGGGGTTTATTCCGCTACAGCCTTATGAGAAATCATTACTGCGATTACTTCAGCCAAGGAGGATATATTTTCGGTTTGGTTTGTTTGTTGGTTTGTATGCAAGATTACATAAAAAATACTGTTACAATTTCCGCAAAAAACTTTTGCAAGCGTGAAAACTGGACTAAGGAATTACTCATTTCTTTTGGAGGGTTTTCAAATGATGTCGCACACTCAATTTTTTTTGTCTAATTGGAACAGCTTTTGCTGACGTCTGCACATTTGGAATCTTCTTCTTGGATAATCATGTTAGCGAAGGCAAAAATAATTCAAGATTTCTCTTTTTGGTCACAGTTATACCAACTGAAAATCTTCATAAATTGAGATGTTGAATGTGAGTTAAAAACTGCTGTACTTTTCTAAGCTCTGCCTCTGCTGCTGTTTGATTGTAAATCTCTTGTTCTGTGGTCTCTAATTGCTGTACTAATGTAATAAGGTCCATATAAGCCATTACCAGTGACTGTACAGAAGGATTAGGACTGCAGTGAAGTGGATTTGTGTTGTAAAAGCTGTAAATTCAATATAGGAGCTACAATAGAGGCTGTAGATGTTACTAGATTACATGATCCTATAATTCAAACAGGAATTTACATGTGTACAGAGAAACCTTTTCAGAATAATGGAAAGGTTTATCATCTGTATTATTAGCTTAATTTTTTACTATACCATTGGGGGATTTTCAGTCGTCAAAGTCAGACATCAGCATGTCGGTGCTGACGAGAGCCAATTAGTCAGCACCGTAAACCTGTGGAGCTCTGAGTCTGGTGACTGGTCCCATTGAGGGATTAAGGCTCAACTAGATTATACGTTTTAACAACAGGAACTCTGTGGACAAAGTCAAGTCATAGTCATCTCCGACAAAAGAGCTAATTTCTATTCATTATTCACTCCAACGTTTACTTGAGTTTCTACTATTTTCTATACTGCTAAACGCTTGTGTTCTAATATGAGGGTTGTTTTTATTGTATGGATCTGGACACTGTTTATTCCAGTCATGATTGATTTGGACTCTGTTCTGTCTACATCAGCTGGGCAAGGGTTAACTTATTTTAATATCAGATGTTATGGCACCAAAATGTGTGTATGTGTTGCAGGGGTACTTTGGATGTTTAGAAAAGTACATTTCGGAATCACCGTTGATTCAATAAGACAAAAAAACTAATGTATCAAAGCAGTGGCAGACCAGCAACCTATCTGTTCTATGGGATAAAATTGCTGTTTTAGTCAATGGAGTCTGGTGGCTGTGAACAGAGCATAGACAACAGTTTCAGTTCCTCATTTGTAAGGGCTGCCTTAGGTGAAAATATTCTAAATATAGGATACACTTCAATCAATTTGAATAAGTGTTGGTGGCTAAAATATGTTTCATTGTTACCCCCATCCAGATAAGTTCATCGCCTAGCTTTCTGCTGGTACTCCTGTCAGTTTTCCAAACTGGGGGAGTGACGACCGCCGTCTGCTGTAGGTTATACTCTGACTATTCACAAGTACCTCATACCCCACTTGAAAACAATCTAAACCATCCCTTTAAAGAGTATGTAACCCTCAGTTCACCACAAACCGTGGACAAATATGGAAATGTTTATCTTCAATCTGTGTTTGCATGTGTGTTTGTGTGTCTGTGTGCTCACTGTACAGTATGTGGTTTGTAACAAGGTTATTTCATGTGCGGGCCCCTACGGTTCGGAATACCTTCTACGACGTGCCAATCCATTGTTATGTAATAAGGGGGATACACACACACACACACACACACACACACACACACACACACACACACACACGCACACACACTGTCATGTCCATACACATACTGAGTAGCTTCCAAATACAGTTAATGATGTGCCTGAGAGTGTTTACACTGCGTGCATTGCAAGGCTGCAGAAACCAAGTTAACAAACAGCTGCCAGAAAAGTCATGGAAGAATGAAAAAAGTTCATGCTGTAAAAGTGCCTTGAAAGAAAGCATAGTTGAAATAGCTCCACAAATAAATAATGAAGATTACGAACAAGCTCAGATAAACAAAATGATGTAACCTGCTCTTGTTTATGAGACTGTAAGAAAGGATGGAGCTCCAGATTGTTTCATGTTTTTTCCAGGACTGTGAAATATAGACTAGTTTCCATGTTATGAGAGAGACTCTCCAACATGTTAAACTATAAAATATGTTTTACTGCTTGATTCAGTTTGTGCCTTGTATTTGGTTAACACAGCTATCAAATGTTTAATATCAACTACAAGACAATAGCCTTTTATCAGACAGTTGAATACTTAAAAATGCTTTTTATGTCTTTTAAAGTGATGTTTTTTTGTCAGACAAAAGACTTTAGAAACTGGTGATCAGGTTAACCCCCTTTTGCCCGTGTGAGACAAATAGTTTCTATAGATTTATCTTAAATGTGGAGGCTAGGGCGGCTGTGGCTCAGTGCGTTACTGCGCTGATATTTCCATTGCACAACAATGATGAAAACGTTATTTACTCTTCTCTTTGAGAGTTCATTTTTGCGAAGTCATTTTTAAACTTCTTTTATTATTTCTTTGTGAGTTAGAAAGTGAATTCAGAAAGTGCGTCTTTACCATCTTTGGTAGCAACTTTATACAGGAAGGCCTCTGTGTTTACTGTAAGTCTTTTTTCTCTTTTGTCTGTCTCGTCTTCATCTGTTTATCTAACTATTTCTTCTTCCCTCTCATGCTGCTCTTTCCCACAACCCCTCTCTCTGACCCCTTCGCTCCTATCTTTTTTGTGTTGTCCCAGTCTTCTCTGTTTTTCAATGTCTTTTTTATTTATTTATGTGTCCCTTACTCGTCCTCTCATCCCTTTCCCGCTCTTGTTGCTTCTTTCTTTTCTTTGAAATCTGTTTTTCTGACTTTTTTTTAACCTTTTCTCTTTCCTTCCCCGTCATCTCTCCATTCTTCTCTCAGATGAAAAGGAGGATGTCACCATGGGGAGTCGGCTTTGGAAGTGGGCGCAGGTCAGTCATTTTGACCCCTGACTCTCTGACCTTGAACTTAATACTTACACAGGAAATTGTCTTTCCGCTTGACTTAAGGACTATTCATTTTGGGAATCAGCCCTCTTGCTGAGAATTAGACGAGAAGATTGATCACACAATCATATATGTGTGTTAAGTATGGAGGGAGAGGCGGGAGTCAATTCGCTTGTTGTAGCCTAGCTTAGCTAGCGTCAAGTTGTTTAAGTAGGCTACATAAATCCTTGTGAAGCACATCTATTTACTGTATGAATGGTTGTCACTAAGAGGATACCATGTTTTAATTAAAGAGCTTTCTAGGTGTATTCAGACTTTTTAACTTTGAAGGGAGCCAGGCTAGCTGTGTCACCTAGCTTGCAGTCTTATGCTTCCGTAAGCTAACTGCCTCTTAGCTTCTGCTCCTTACTCGACGCACAGACAGAGGAGGGGTATTCATTTTATCTTAATCCTATCATATCATGTATTTTGTTTTTGCTATGTTTGTAAAATGTAATTTTCTTAAATGTTTTATGTGAGGGACTGCAGATGGAAATTAGCTCAAAGCTAAATCTGGCACTGTTACGCTTGACACATTTTAATGTCTTAAGTGTTCATTACTGCGCATTGTCCCTGCCAAATAAACAATTAAATGAAAAATGAAATGAAAAACAATAATATTATTTTTAAACAACTAAACTATTCCTTATAAAGGTTGTAGCAGGTGTACCAGCATTTTTTATTATCAGGCATCATACTGTAGAATATCACCAAAAAACCTCTCAACAAACGTTTTAACTATGTTAAATCTTGTGTACGTTCCCACTTAGTACATTTTAAAATGTCAATTATTGAGTCTTTGCCTTTTGTGGTTTGTTCCCTACTGATAGAATATGTAGTTCTGTGTTGTTATTTGGTGTCAAGTCTAGGCACTTCGTTGTTTCCTGAGTTCATATCATAGACAACATATTATATGAATGTCTGTATTTCTGTGTTTGTGTCTGTGTATCAGTATCTGTTTCCTAGAGATATTATATTATTAGGGTGTGTGTGTGTGTGTGTGTGTGTGTGTGTGTGTGTGTGTGTGTGTGTGTGTGTGTGTGTGTGTGTGTGTGTGTGTGTGTGTGTGTGTGTGTGTGTGTGTGTGTGGTGAACTATTGACTGTAGTGTATTCCTGTGGCATCAGACAGGAAATGGATTTGTCCAGCACTCTCAGCTCATAACAGCAGCAACAACATCAGTGTGTTTCTGTTTATGACCATGTGATACAATAATCCAAATATGGAAATACTGTTAATACCACGGTTTATTTAGGAAGTGATTTCACAGTTATAGTTTAATTCAGTTTTTTTCCTCTATGACGTATGATGATTCTCATGACCAGTATTAGGATGATGATCATAGCCAATGGTTGCATAACCGTAATACTGAAGAAAGCTGCAGCACGTCAACAAACTCTGGAATGTTCCATCCGTTTCTATAATAAAAACTAACTGTAAACATAGTGACAAGAAGCTCTCCAGACACTTCATTAATGGAGACAGAGCCTCTACACTAACAGCAAACTGGGAAAACATGGCTGTCTTGTAAGCTTTCTTAAAGTTACAATCACCTAAAGTTATATTTTAACAATTTCGTGTTCCGATAGTCAATGTCAACTTATTAGCTTTTCCTGGAACTATCGACCATATCACATGGTCATTTTCAACAATTTGCTCAGAAGTTAAGGTTTTTCAGTACGTTTTAGGAAGTGTTCAGACCAAAACCGAAACCTGAATTGTGCCCTGTTTTAGCGGTGCAATTATGGCCGGTAGTGTTTTTTTAGAATATTGAAAATCTCTCTAATATTCGTAAACATCAGTACCCTTTTCTTAAAAAATGAAGACGGACTTACTTTCATGCCACCTTTACAAACACATGTTTTTCCTGAACTTACTGTGGATGCCTTGAGTTTGCTCGCTTTTCTGGAAGCCCTTTTTTTCTTTTGTTGCAGTACTCTGGTAGAGTCATGATTGCTGAAAGACGACAACAATAACTTTTATTATTTATTTTCTAAATCTCTGTAATGCCAGAAGAATGTTATCCCTGATACGCACCACACACATCAAGTTCAAACACATATTTGTTTCTGTTTTGGTTTGGTACAAACTATTCAATTCCTCTATGCTTTTGTATTCATAGTACTTTAAGAGCATTGGTTTACTGTTAGCTAACAAAGTGGAGCTGTCTCGAATAAGAGACAGCGGATGGTTCAGCGTTTAGGAGCTGAACTATCACACGGCCTTTCAACTTCCTGTCTGCTGCACAAGGATTATTAATAGTCCTGTGGAGTAAAATCATGCAATAGAATAAAAACTCCAAAACATAATGTTTTGTTTATTGTGATTACTTATTAAAAGAACAGTATCCAATAGAAACCTCTTTTGATGTCTTGTAAAGGTTCAAGGCAGTGTTATTGCCTCCATTCTGTTGCACAATTCGAGCAATAACAAGACATCAGTTTGAAATGTGATTTCCATGTGTTTGAGTTTGTTTTAGTGGTTGCTGGGCACCTACTGGTGTTAAGACAGAAGTAGATGGCAGAGCAGAGCAGAACATTGGAAACATAGCTGACATGCCTCTGCTGGGACTGTTTGGATTGAAGTGAAGGATTGGGCTGGAGATTTAAATCAGCAGACTGAAGTGAAACATGACATCTAGAGTTTAAGGACCAAGCTGAACTTTGTCCCAACAAGACCCACTTCACTTCGAAGATACTTTATAAGGAAGCTGCTTGTCATAGACATACAGTATATGATACTTAAACATTTATTTGTTTTGTTATTTTATCTCCCATTGTAAAGCGTCCTTGGGTTTCTTCAAAGGCGCTATACAAATCTAAATTATTATTATTATTATTAAATGTACTCTCACTGTGCAGTACTGTGTTATTGCAGATTTTGCCGCCCGCTCATGGTAAGAAACTTTTACAGGCAGTCACGACACTCCCAATCCGGACCTTAATCAGATTAATATACAGCGAGTCTGATCACAGTACTGCCACACAAATATGAAACCAGACAGGTGTAATAGATGGGGAAAAACAGTTTTTAGTTCATGCTTTTTGGTTTCCTAAAATACTAAACAATCCCTAGCATCCTCCCTCACCTTTTTTCTAGGAATGTATCAGTGTACTGCTGTATTGTGCTCACAGTATAAATCTTTATTGAGGAAAAGTGATGCTCATCAGTCTCTCTCCCTGTCTCGCAGCAGTGACAGCGCTGCCATGGCGTCAGGACCTCCGGAGGGGATGGCCAATCAGGAGCCTGCTGAGGTCGCGGAGGAGTGCTCAGGTAAAGTTTTGATTAAATGTTCAGTTAAAAGTTTTCATGTGATTTCAGTGGAAAAAGGAACAAAAGACTAAAGATTATTATGTATATATTATGTAAAATTGGTCGAGATCAATGACTTTAATAATGAAAAAACTATGTATGAATCTCTGCATTTCAAAAAAAGTTTTCAACTTTATACAGTATTTTTGGATGGGACCTAATAATTGGTTAACACAAGTGATTTAAAAACAAGATATTTGACTCTGCATGTGATGCAGGACCTGCTACCCAAAGCTAAATAAGGGGATAATTAGCCAATTATTACATGCTTACTCAGTTAATAAATTAATAATTTTACACAACATTTTGTTTTTAACAGGATTTTATATATTTAAAAATTACAGTTTTTCTTCCACTTAAAAAAAATAGTCTGTTCCACTGCCAAGCAACATCTGAACTGCGATCACAGCGACGTAACTTAAAATCAAGGTTTTTCTATAACTGTCCAAATCTGTTCACAGTTTATTTTCCATTAACCAGTCTTTCAACAACACCAGAGCCCATACCGTGATTCTATTGTATTCCTGTCTGTCTTCTTCTGCTGTTCCCTTTAGTGTTTACTTCTTGTCTGTTTTCTTGTGCTAAAGTCTCTGTCCTCCAGCTCTCTCTGTCTTTGAACCTCTTTCCTTCTCTTGTTCTCTTTTCTTTCCTTTACTGGGGACAGTTTAAGCATCATGAATCTAAAATGTTGTGCTCTCCTCACATTTAAATATATATAGCGATCTGCCACCGAAAAGAGCAGACCTCTCATTGTCCAGATCGACCAATCAGAATCAAACATTCAACTAAGCTGTGTAATAAGACAAAAATAACAAACTATATTATTGGGAGAATGGGTGGGTACTAGTCCTGTATGAAATCTACGTCATATCAGAGTTATGTTGACTGTGTACACACAGACACAGCAGAGAAGATCAGGCTAGCTTTAGATCTCCTGGCTGCCGTTGGCAGGAAATGAAGGAACACAGAAAGCTATCATCATCTCACACACACACATACACATTACACACACACACACAAACCCAGATGCACACTGTCGATACAGATGGAGAGCATGCTGCTGATATAATTGAACCAGTGAGAAGCGCATTCAGAGGTCAGAAAAATGTGTGTGTGTGGGTGAAAACACAGCAGGAATTTTTAGCTGAAGTACGCCTGGGATTATCGAACAGGCCAACTAAGTGGAAACAGTCTCTCTGCCCGAGCTTAATTCTGACTTTTCAGTAGAAATCTATTATTGCAGGAAACAGACCATTAGCACTTAGTGTGGCGAGTGATTTCTATTTGACTGGCATGATAGAGCTGCCAGCAGGCGTGACTCCACAGATCACCGAGTCTGCCACTCATGTCCGTCTCAATGTGTCCGAGTCAACCCAGTGATGGTGCCAGGCCAGCAGAGAGCTGCAGTTTCAGAGGGTCAGACTCTGTTCAGAAAAAGTATGCAATGTTAGGCCTGCTGTCCTCATTATATTGTAAATAAGCAAAAATCCCAGAAACAAATTATCAAGAATTCACATGGATTATTTAGTAAAGTCCTACTTTTAATTAATTTTGGTGAATAAAACCTTCACTGGTGGTGTTTCCATTTAGTTACAAAAAATATATTTTAACACTTTTGATACACTGATATGAGTTTTCTTTTCCAATTCAGATATTAAAAATCTAACCTGCCAAGGTGGAGATATTTTAGGTTTCCTCTTTTTCTCTCTCGCATTATTTCCCTCAAAGGTCACCATCTTCTCAGTTTGTTAGCTCAGGTCAGTACTCCCCTGATGATGTTATTTTTATTATGAGAGTGTAGCCATGAGAGAATGTACAGTATTTTGGTGAATATCAGCATCTTAGCCCTACAATGACCATAGAGCTGCACTGACCTTCCATTGAAGTGGTGGCCTTTTTAAACTCTCGGGGAGCAGACCTTTAACTTAAGAGTGCATTGTACCTAAAATAGTGATTGAAATGGCTCTGTTGGATGGCTTTTCCTCCTGTTTTTTTTTATCTTGGCAGCGCATAAAGGATTCATAAAAGTTTGTTGGAAGCTCTGCAATAACACAAAGCAGTTTACTTTAAAGGCTGGACAAAAGAGAGGAGAATTTGCCAACGTGCTTTACAGAAAGTGGATGAAAATTGCATTATCTTGTGTCAGGTGCTTTATGTAGACAATTTGAAGTCTTGCATAATGTGTGTGACTTGTTTAGTTACATTTACCTATGATACAGAATGAATAAAGAAATTAGCTCAATCATTTTGACAAGTGTTCTTTAAGAAATGACCCAGAAATGTTAAGCAGCACAAGGTTGAGATTCCAGACATTTTTCAGTGTGATTTAGTTCCAACCAGAAGGTGTATTTTTAGAGAAAGGAATGCTCAAGGATTCCCTGCAGGCAGAAAGACAGAAATGACACAGCAAGTATGAAAAGAATGTGTCTTTTTTTATGTATCGTCTGAAGCGTTTTGTTGGCCTAGGGTTAAGAAAATAGTTGGTTCACATTTTTTTAAAATTATTTTTCAACAGCTCCATCTTTGTTCACTGCTCCTTTCCATTTTGTTTCCTTCTGTTTTGTGTCTCAACACGATCCAGACTGTGGGGATTATTTATTCCATTATTATTTCTCCATTGGTGTTGCTCCACATTAGATAACATTGAAAAAATGACGATGGGTCTGGGCATTGGAAAATACATTTCTTACTTTTGATCCCTTTTCCCTTGTCAAAACTGCTGACAATACCCACGATGTAATCTCTATAAACAGATAATGAGTTTCTCTTTGTAGTACATTTGCAGACCTTTTGTAGTCCAAGCAGTAATGACCAATCACATTGAGGTGGCATGGCTTCATGCAGTTAAAAAGTCGGTGTGGAGAGCAAATGCAATCTCCAAACCCATCGGCTAATGGTCCAACAACAATGACACTCTTAGTGATTACGGACACTATCTTTCAGAAAACTTCTAGTCCACAAGCTAATAAAAAGCTAGATCCTGTTCAGAAAATAGCCAATGATTGCATTAATTCCTGTTTGTGTAAAACATGCAACACTCTGAAGGTTGTTCGACGACAAACACTGTATAGTGGTTTGGTAAACAGTCGAAAAACTGCATTCTGCATTTCTGCTTTAAAGTTGGGTCTTTTTAACAAGTTTACTTTTTCTTGGGGCCAGCCTCAAGTGTCCAATGTTTTTTGCACTTCAGCAGCCCTGTTGAATGTGGGATGGAGAATTGACCAGGGGGAATTTCAAGTGTTGGATGACCACCTTGCTGACTGAAAGCAGTGTAAGCTCTGTAGCTGTTTAAGGAGTTATAAAGGAGTTGTTGAGTTTTTCCACTGCGGTGCTAATGGAGCTAGACTCACTAGGGGGGAGGGTTTACAAGCTCAGGAGAGTGTGCGTGTTTGTATCTGTCTTTATATATGCCAGTCTTGGTGTGTAGTGTCTCCAGGGATGCATACCTGGGAATTTACAGCCACGCGGAGCTCACTGCTGAAACTAGAGTTCATATGAGGGCAGTGTGTAAAGAAGCCGTGTGTGTAATTGTCTCGTTAACAGATAACTGCACAGTTAATTGTAAAGCTTCACTAGAGTGCGTCAGGAGAAAGTATCCGTAACGGGGTTGAATTAGATTATTTCATTTCCTCTCTTTTGTCATTTGTCTTCACAGGAAAGAAGAAGTCCAAGTTCCAGACGTTTAAAAAATTATTTGCAAGGAAGAAGAGAAAGGAGCCGCCAGCAGCAGGAGCAGATGCTGGGCTCAAAGCCAGCCAATCAACTGACAATGTCGGCAAAACCTCCGAAAATAACACCCTCACTCGATCAGAGAAGGAGAAGGGATCTGGGTAAGATCAGACACAGATAGACAAAAACACACACCAAGTGTGATGGCAACACTTTTATTGGCACAGTTTATACACTCTAAAAGAAAATACACCAGCTCTACTTAAATAAATTTAGGTAACAATTTGCGTTGATCTTTTTAAGAATTTCCAATTGAATCGATTATTAAGTTAATCCGAGTACCCATTTATAATCTGATTAACTCATTTAGTTCAGTACTACAAACATAATTGCTTTCAACTTTAAAAACTGAAGATGGAGTGATATTAAGTTGCATTTTGTTTAATTTAAGCATGTATTTATTTAAGTCCATACTACTCAAAAATGTCCACGCAAATTGTTACCTTCATTTGAAGAAACTCATTTCTTTGAGTCAACAATAATATACACATTTAAGTTCCACAGGCTCTTGCCGCATCCGAGATTTTAAGGACTTCTGTTCCTTCAATCACTATTCTTGCATCCGCACCCCTGGTCAAGACAATCTTCAGCACCTCATTGCTAACTTCCACTTCACCATCCTGGAATAAGTAGATTAGAAAATAAATTTCAGTGTTTTTGGTGCAATCAGATTAGAAAACATTGCATTGTGTTTCAGGTTAACAAGTTACAGTATGATTTAAGCATCTTCTTTACTTACTTAAGTTTTCCTTGAAGAGATCCTCCTTTTCACGAAGACACACCACCAAGCACCGGATAGCAACCTCTCTTATTCTTTCCACCGAATCATCCTTAAAAGGAGAACATTTTAATGTTGAGAAAGAAAAACAAAGGGTTGTTTGCAAAAACTGAACATGCCGAGCATTGTCAGTTGCTGTTCATATTTATTTTAAATCAGTTTTTATCAAATGTAACAGTATCAGCATATCAGTATGCTATGCATGCTACAGTAGCTTAAAACAAGTAGCTGATGATACCTTACAGCTTGTATTACAATATATGCAGTAAGCAGCTGTTTTAAATCAAGCTGAACAAAAATGGCTATTTACCAGGTAACTTGGTAGATTATTAGGTTAAAATCCTGTTGTTCCACTGCTATCTAGAGTTCTGCTTCCAGGATGAACGCAGATTGCTCCAACTCAACATTCGGTCTAGTCCAGACGTGTGTTCAGTTTTGAAACTAAACCGTTGAAACTCAATAGATATGAGTTACTCTAAATTAGTATATCCCTGTAATTGAGTGAACGCAGAAATATTTTTTCAAAATCATTACATTTGTAAGTTACATTTTTTGTTCTTTTTCAGTTTGACAGACTTATTAAAATGAGTTGTAAACTAACTAAAATAAGTTGAGGTAACAAACAAAAAATGTTATGTTGAAAAAGTATTTATTTTTAAGTGGAATCTCCTAGCCACATGAATAGTTTTTTAGAGTGTACATCGACACAGTTTAATGCGCATGTTGACAAGAATAAGAAATAGATTCAAATATTTCTATGTGGTTTATTTTGGAAATGTTTTTTTAATGGTTTTAAGATCCTTTAAAAAACAGAACAGCTCACTAAATGCACTTTGGGTGAACTAGAAAGCATTTTTCTTTATGCAGCAACTTCAACCATATCCTTCACATGGGAATTCATATAAAGATTTACTCTGGAAGCCCTGAGAGGCAAGTCAGAAATAATATTCTGGTGAACCATTTTCTTGGTCAAATGGTAAATGGACTTCATTTATATAGTGCTTTTCCAGTTTTTCACGACCCCTCAAAGAGCTTTACATTTACAAGACAACGGTCACCCATTTATACTGAGGCTGCCATACAAGGGGCCACCTGCTTCTCATACCATGCCATCGGGAGCAATTTGGTGTTAAATATCTTGTCCAGGGGTACATCAGCATTACAAAACCTTGCCATTGTTAGACTACCACACTACCTCACAGCCACAGAGGCATGTTTTCTCTCCTGTGTTTTGACTTAAGTACAGGGATAATCTTCCCTTAATAGCTTTTTCATTTGTGAAACAGGTGGTGAAAAGTTTCAACAAACTCTTTTTTTCTTGTTTATTTTTCCATCTGTGAAAATGAATAATTAAGGAATTATGAAAGATTATGCCAGCAAACAACTTTTTCAACCTGTTCTTACAAACACAGAAAAGAAAATTATTTTACTAAATAAATGCAGCACCTCTTTTCCTCCTCTGTCTGAAACCAGAGCCCAGTTTGATCTGATTGGTTAGCTGGTTAGATTGGTCAACCGCTTCGATATGTCCTGAACAATGTATTGCCAGCCAATAGACGTGCAAGTGTTATGTAATGATGTTATTATGTTATGGGAAAAACAAGTCCAATGGAGGCGTTTCTGGGATGGGGAAAGTGTTTGGGAGAGAAACTCCCTTTGGAGGGTACTTTGGGATTTTAGCCTTTGCAGACCATTTACATGCACAAAAAGCTATAACACTACATGAAAGGGAAACCCCCAAAAAGTAAAATAGGGCCTCTTTAGATTATTTTGATTACTCTGATTACTTCCATTGCAGTCGTTTTTACTGTGCTGCACATTTTAAACCTTCAGGTTTTTTTAAAACTTTTGTGCAAATCTATAAGTGTTTCTTTCATAAATCTATTTGTTTCAGGCTAGAAAAGCCATTCAAAAGACATTTAGTCAATTTAGTCCTCTTGAACCAAAGCCAATTCAATCGTTTTTGATGGGTTGGCCAACCTTCCCAATGAAATATGAATCCAGTTGTGGCAATATCATCTTGTTTTTTATTAATATTCCCTAAACGTTACTCTTTTTTTATCCAGCCACCACTATTTGTCAACCACAAGCATTTTAAGAGGCTCACAAAAAAAAGCATAGCTGCTGTTAGTAGACACCATTTCATTTGCCTGCAGTAATATGCTTATATTACATTTGTTTGATTTCCTCAGCCTATTTAGGTACATATCTCCTCTTGTGTAGAAAGGACAGAGATACTTAAAAAAGGAAGACGTTGTTTTTCATCCAATTCCTGTTCATCCTAAGCTTAGGCTTGTGGCTTCCTGTTTTTGTTTCAAATAGTGGAGTTTGTCTTCCTGTGGACAGTGCTGATTTCCTTTTGTTTTCCCAAGCTGTGGCACTTCCTGCCTCGTCTACTCTTGACTTTTCCTCATAGTCACAAGATATATCTGCACCAATTTGACTGAAGCCACTCTGTGTTGATTGTCAAAGTGCATTAATTGGAATGGCCAAATGTTGTTGGACAGCAAACAAGAACAGAAAGAAGATTATCGGTTCATTTTGAATGATTTTCTTTCATTTTGAATGATTTCTTAGCTAACCCCTAACCATTAAGGGTCAATTATTTGTTTTAAACCTCTGACCCCTCGGGCCTACCAACATGCAGTTTTCTTCCTTCTGTTTTTTATGTTTCAGAATCTGTGAAACATCACTTTCTGCTTTGTTTATATCTTCCTGTTCCCCAAAGGTCAAAGATCAGCCTGGGCGGCAAGGCCTTGTCCCATGACTCTGTCTTTGTTTCGGACTCATCGGAGACCAACAATGCTCTGGGGGCATCTCAGGAGAGCATCCACGGGAAGGTGAAATCACTACAGGTACTTATAAATAACCTAAGTGGTCCTTTAAGTTTGAGATGCTTATCAAACAGAGTGGCCACGTTTGAGCTCCTGTCTCAACAAGTTGTAGTCTCTTCCTGGAGAAGAATGATGACCCTGAACTCCAAGTGCATGTTAAGACAAGAGAAATTGAAATTGGAATTGAAAGAGAAATAATTTGACTGCAGGTTAATGATGCATAATAGGCAAATAAAGACTCACAATCTGTGTGTTTGGGAGTTCTATGACCCTTTGCTGATCTGATACAAGCTGATCTGCTGTCAATTTATTCAGAGAAGCAGTGCTGATGTGTGTCACAAAGGGTGGTGTTTGTCACAGCAAAGTAAAGGAGTGAATGATGAAAATAAAAGCAGACAGTCGCTCAAATGTCTGTCACAACAACGGGCTAAAACGGGAAGACTCGAGAGCCAGACGGATGGACTGACCTCAAGTTAAACTGCTCCACTAAGCCAACTTTAGGGAAGTGAGAATTAAACAGCATCTTAAGGGGATTTGCTCAAAAGGAAAACTTTCTCCTGTGGCTATAACACTGCTCTAGAAAGGGGATTAGTTTTCTGACAACACAGCAACTACACAGGTGATCATTCATAATAATTAAAAATGTGTACAAGTATGTAGATTAGATAGAAGTAAACCCTTGAGGTTAAAGTAAACACATTGATTTCTATAAACTGACTTTAGTGTTTCCTCCCTCTGATCCGCCTGTTAAATTATTGAAAGAACAAAAATATAATCAAACTATTTAGGGATCATCACGTTAGGAGGTTATGGCATACAATAAGGCAAATTTCAACACTGTAAGGTGTGTATTATATGGGGTACACTAACTTAGGATACCACAAACAATATCATATATTGAGGTCATTAGCCCAATTTTATACCTGTAACAAATGTTTGACTTGCCACCAAACATATTTATTAATATGTATTTATATTGTTGTTTTATTGACGTTACATTATATTTTCCTCATTGAATGTGTTACAGTCACATATGGTGACCTCAAGTAAGCTAACTGAATTTGACATTATCATGGCTTTGCTATCATGTTCTGTAGCAGTTGAGATATTCACCCAAAAACTAATTTGAGATAAAGGGACCAAAACACAGTTAAAAAAGAAAGACTGGCTAACAGGAAATACTACCAACAAATGCTAACGTTATCTTGTTTGTTCATTTTTTAGTTGGTCAGAAATACTAGTCACTTGCATTAGTTACTCTTTATTTTGTCTGGACTCAAGTCATATTTGATGAATATTTAAAACATGTAATGTTATATAATCAGTTTACACTCCAAAATTAGCAATACACTGAATTTCAATTATTAGCCAGTTTAGCTTCCAAACACAGCTGCTAATGGTTAGCTAAGACGTTGCTATGTCCTTGTTTTAGCTGGAGCTTCTATCTATTTCTCAGTGTGTTACATTAACAAAATATAATTATACTATCATTGAAAAATGTAGGGGTAGGTGTCTTTCAGTCAAGGTCTTGGTGTGGGTGCCAGTGTCCAGTCGGCTAAAGAAAAGCTGCGTTGTCCAGTGTTTGCTTTGCACAGGAGTCCTTGAGTGACTGTTACAGGGCAACACGTAAAAGGGAGATAAAAAGTCTGATAGTTTGAGTTTCTGTGATACCTTCCACACACACACACACACACACACACACACACACACACACACACACACACACACACACACACACACACGGAAAAGCCTAAAATAAATACTTTATATCTAGAGTGCCAGCTGACACAGGTCATTCTCTGTTAATCATCTGTTAATGCTGAGAAGGGAAACTTTGAAAACACAAAAATGTTTAGTTAAACACACCTTTGCTACTTTCTAGCTGTAGTTGATTAAACAGGCTGTCAGATTTGGCTCTTCTCCATTGCCAAATGCACACATACTGACACACACACACACATAAATACCTGGGAAATAACATTCACTTCCTGCTGTAATATCTACAAGTCTGGCCAAGTCTTTTCATTCTTAATCAGGTGTTTTGATCAGTAGATGACACACATGTACAAAGACAAATATCTTGGTTTTTTCTGCAGCTCCAGCTGAAGCAGGCCATCAGACTGGGCTCTCCTCCGTCCATCATGTGTGTGAAGAGAGCGGACGATGCTGGAACTATGTCTGAGGACGACGGCCTGCCCTGTAGTCCCCCTGAATACAACGCGCATCACACAGTCATGGTAACACATTATTGAGTGATGTCCTGCAGTATACCTGAATGCTATTTTCAGACGGCGCTGCTAACACTGATTTTGTCTCTTCATGTCAGAATAAGGCTCAGAGGAACAGCCGCATGAGTCTGGAGGGAGTAGACAGTGGCGATGACCAGGTAAACAAACACACCATCAATTCAGTTTGCACTCCTATTAAATGGTCGGATATTTTGATTTCAAAATGGTACTCTTCATAGCCAACTAACCCAGACTTTAAAGGGGACCTATCATGCAAAATGCACTTTTGTACGTCTTTTATACATGAATATGTGTCCCCGGTGTTCCAGGGAACTCACCAAGTGTCGGAAAACACAATCCTCTCTATTTTCCTCCATACCCAAATCTCGGAACGGATCTGATACAGACTGATCCAGATTTGAAAACTTCTATGACGTCACAGAAGTGGCGCTACGGCTATTGGGCCAACTCCACCAATCAGGAGGAGACAGCCACGGACATTGCCGTTCGAAAGAGCTGGAGACGCTGTAGTACATATGCCAGGCCTGTAGATGGTGCTGTTCTCACAGAATCAGCCCATGCAAAGACAGTGTTAAATTGATCGAAATGAGGAATGGCTAAAATGCTTGATCTGTTTGGTATTTTGAAAAATAAAAAGTATAAATATGCCTTATATAGGTATGGACCTACACTATATTATTCAAATATACCATGATGGATCCACTTTAAAGGACAAAGTTTAAACACGAGTTAATCAGACTTTACACACCTTCCTCTGGAGACACAAAAGGCTTTTTACAACTTAATTGGACAAATAAAGTAGAAAATGTGTGCCCATTTAAGTTCTGTTAAATTCAAAATAGATGTTGATATTATTTTTATCATATCTTTATTGATGCTAGGTAGCTTAGTAACATTTCCACGGACTGTTGCTAGCACTGTAGGTAACATACACAAAGGTATATTTCTGAAACAGGAATCATGATTCTGTGCAATACAACGTGCTGACCTGATGTACAATCAAATATGAAAAACGAAGAAGAGTGGAACAGCCTAACAAGTGTGCCACTCTCTCTAACGGTTTCAACATAAACTGTACCGAAAATAAATACCTCACGATGTCTATCTAATTATGAACTTGCTTTACTTTCACATTTTTGGTGATAACAAACAAATGTAACAAAGTAACATATTTACCAACACATGTTCTACTCCACTACATACTTACATTGAAATGTGTGCTGCGTCGGTTCAGCCATTCTCCGCAAGGGTTTTTGAAATTGGTCCGTGCGCAAAGCATTGTGGGTTTTTTAAGGACGCGAAGTCTACCCATGATGGGTAGACTTCGCGTCCTTAAAAAACCCACAATGCTTTGCGCACGGACCAATTTCAAAAACCCTTGCGGAGAATGGCTGAACCGACGCAGCACACATNAGTGAAATGAAAAACCATTTTCTGTGAAGATATTAACAGTACTTAATTTCAGCAAAACATTACAATTATTATATACAATGGACTAAGCATAACAGACACATTTCCACCACTCATGGACCACACCCACCTTTTCTCTTGAAAAACTGGGTGACATACTGGCCGTTTCTCAATCGCGAGGAAACTGGCTTCCAAGCCAATATTTCAAGGATACTACGTCATTGAGTGCCGCCGAAGGACTGTTCCAATCTCCAGCATACTTGGAATTCCACCGAGGCCGCGTCCTTGGTTGGGGGGAAATTTCGAGGCTGCACATGGGTAGACTTCGCGTCCTTAAAATCCCCACAATGCTTTGCGCACGGACCAATTTCAAAAACCCTTGCGGAGAATGGCTGAACCGACGCAGCGCAGCACATATTTAAATGAGTATGTAGTGG